CCTGTGGTCTGTTTACTATTCTGTGTGGGAGCCTTTCCAGAGCACCCATTCTCCCCATGTCTCCTTACAACATACCCATGATCAGTCAAGGAGAAAAGGGAAAGAGAGCCTTTGAATTCAGAGCACAGGGTATAAGAAAGAAGAAAGGGGGTGCAGCATAGTATTGGAATGCTTTTCTTTTTAAAACACATCCACACACCCCCCCCCGCAACAAAGAAGTTTTTTTATGCTTTCTCTGTATAAAGCAAGACTTTTAGAAGGCTAAAGCAAATGAAGAGGTGCATCTTTAAGTATTCCACACACACACAGATAGAGAGAGAGAGAGAGAGAGAGAGAGAGAGAGAGAGAGAGACTTTCAGTGGAGTTGGAGTAAATGTATTTTATCCATGAATATTTGTTATCAGAAGTGCTGAATAAAAGAACAGCCTTGAGGAAAAGAAACTGAATGTGCGATAGGGGAGCAAGAGGGCATGTGTGATCCCAGAACAAAAGGCATACAAGAAGCAGTTGTACTCAGTAAGACTGGGAATTCTTACAGCAGGAAAGTGGCTCAAAAACAAGAGTAAACTATATAGAGATTTATAAATGTTGGAGGACCTGCCGCATCTCATATGATCAAAACTTAGACAGTCTTGAGGATCTGTGTGAAGGAAGCAAGGTTCTTCCCATTTTTTTATTTTTGTGGGTGGCTGGGTTTGGATTTTCACATTTAAAAAATGCCCTTTTGACAAGGCGACATTTGTTGTCGGACCTGGAAGGAAGCACTGCAAAAATGTGTTCAGTCTCTAAGCTATACCCAAAGTGGCAAACTTGGACATTCCTCAGCCAGACTAACAAGAGGAAAAAAGTTTCACAAAAATATATATTTTATTTAAGGATTTATAACATGCTTCCTTACAAATGTTTCCAAAGTGGTAATAACCAAAACATGAAAAAGCAACATATATACAGTGCTATTTTTCTAGAAAAAGAGGTGCTGGAACACACCCTGAATCACTTGTTCTCTCATAATGGCAATGGTGCCCACCCGAGAGGCGCCGGGCGTTCCAGCTGAAAAAATCCCTGTATATACCGTATATTAAAAAAGAAATATACATAAAAATGAATGAAATTTATAGAGTAAAAGACTAAGAAGAAATGGGTATAAACGAGATAGTTAAAAATAATATTGATAACACAGTGAAAAGAAGAAAAGAAATAAAGGAAGTCATGGGTGGAGGGAAGTCAAGATTGATGTTTTTATGTTTAGTTTCTTTTGTAATTTAAGTTGATACTTCTTTTGGTTAATGTATGTTTAATTGTTTTCTTTTGTAGGAATTAAGGAGTTGTATGTATAATAAGTTCATTTAGTGTTCGGGAGTACTGCATAGACCAATAACAAATAAAAAGAAATAAAAAAATAAAAAATGCTAAGCTCTTGTCTAATTATGAAAGAATAACGGGAAAACAAAAAAGAAAAGAAAAACCTATGAACATGGAAGTGTATTTTGAAGATGTGTTCTTCCACAATGGTGCCACTTATTTTTTTAAAATTGTTTGTATAAAAGATTTTATTGGATTACAAAAGTACATATATCGCCCAGTGTTAGAAACTGAGATATGAAAGCTAGGAGCTAAATGGCACCTTAAACCGAGATAGCTTTAGATTCTCACCTATTAACAATCCATTTTTACATACACCTTTATGACATTGCTGCTAAAACCACTTAACTTCATTCTGACATCATTCTAACATTCATTAATTTTACAATATTTCTGTAAGTAGTCTTTAAATTTCTTCCAATCTTCTTCCACCGACTCTTCTCCCTGGTCACAACTTCCTGTGATTTCAGAGGGAGGCCATTTCTTCTCCTCAGCACCCCCTCCGCTTCCTTGAGTGCTCCGAGCGCTAAGCGATCGGGAGTCTTAGCTTCATGGCAAATGTTTCACAAGAATGGGTCACTGCAGGCCACCTATGCATTGTTTCCCTCTTCCTGTCAAGTTGAATGTTGAAGAACTGTTTGAGCATTTGTGCTGCTGCAGGCTCCTCGATAGCCTCCCTGACAGAGCTTTACAAGCGCTGTAACTCCAGGCTACCCGTCTCGTTTCTCTTGAATAAAGATTTTGGTTTCGGCAAATTCATTCAATGTTACAATCCCCCCCCCCTTTTCTCTTTTTTTGTTTCTGGTGAAGGGCTGTGAAGGCAGGAACAAACACTCATTCTCTTATGCTGATCATGAATGTTATTAATGCTACTTCCTTTAGGCACAAAGACTCTACAAATTTGTACCAGCAATATTCTCTCTCTCTCTCTCTCTCTGTTATACTTGTCCTTCCCCTCACTATAAATTACCCACTGCCAACTATAAAAGTTTGAAAAGTAATATTAAAGTGACTCTTGAAGCAAACCTTTTTTTTCTATAGCACAGTGGAACAAAGTTAAAGTGTTTTATGTTTTTGAAGGCTATATAAGCAAATTAGGTGGATAAAACTGGATCAGATTTATGAAGGTTTACCCCAGGTTTGGGGAACCTTTGGCTCTGCAGATACTTCTGAACTACAATTTCCATGATACTTGGCCATTGGCTCTGCTTTCTGGAGCTGAGGGGAACTGTAGTTCAGCAGCATCTGAAGAATCCAAGGTTCCCACACCTAGCTTAGCCAAATGTGTAGGGACAAATGTAACGTTCTGCACACAGGCAGGAAGAACTAGCTGCACAGATATAAGATGGGGGACACCTGGCTTAATATCAGTACACGTGAAAAGAAATCTAAGGGTCTTTGTGGACTACAAGCTTAATGTCAAGGAACTGACATCGGAGCCAGAGGCGGAGGCTAGGCTCCCAAGTGATGCTGGAGAAGGGCCCAGCAGGGAGAGAGGCAGCTCAGCAGATGGGGAAGGAGATCAGCGTAACACCAGGGATAAAGGGGGGCAGATGGGGGAATCGGCGAGGGGGCTCCAGGACTCCTCGCCGGAGACCAGCGGGGAGAGCACGGGTCCTCCGCTACCCACACCCTCCCTGCGCAGAAGACTTCCGCGCAGGGAGAGTAGGAGGAGACTTGGCGTCAAACAGCTTTTATGCTGGAAAAGGTTTAAGAGACGCCCACTGACGGATACTGCTAGCGACTGAAACAGCCACGAAGTGAAGGGCTGTCCAGACAGGAAAGGTTTAACCAGGCAACCTAGCCAGGAGTGGCGGCAACTTACGCACGAGCAACCCCTATTATTATTACACTTAAGATGAGTCAACAGTGGGATGCAGCAGCAAAAAAAGCTAATGCTATTCTGTGCTGCATCAACAGAAGTATAGTGCCCAGGTCAAGGGAAGTAATAATACTGCTCTATTCTGCCTTGGTCAGACCACACCTGGAATACTGTGACCAATTCTGGGCACCACAATTTAAAATGGGTGTTGACAAGCTGGAACGCATGCAAAGGATGGCAACCAAGATGATTAAGGGTCCGGAAACCAAGCCATATGAGGAATTGTTGAAGGAGCAGGGTACGTTTAGCCTGGAAAAGAGGCGATATGATAGCCATCTTCAAATACCTCAAGGGCTGTCACGTGGAAGGTGGAGCAAACTTGTTTTCTCCTGCTCTGGAGGGTAGGACTCAAACCAATGGCTTCAAGTTGCAAGAAAGGAGTTTCCAACTAAACTTGCAGAAGAACTTTCTGATGGTAAGAGTTGTTTGACAGCGGAACAGATTCCCTTGGGGGGTAGTGGATTCTCCTTCACTGGAGGTTTTTAAGCAGAGGTTGAATGGCCATCTGTCATGTATGCGTTAACTGAGATTCCTGTATTGCAGGGAGGCATAGCTGTCAACTTTTCCCTTTTCTTGTGAGGAATCCTATTCAGAATAAGGGAATTTTAAAAAAGGGAAACGTTGACAGCTATGCAGGGAGGTGGACTAGATGATCCTTGGGATCCCTTCCAACTCTACAATACTATGGTTCTAAATGAATGCTGGAACAGTCAGGTACAAAACATGGCAAGGCTCCTGTACCTTAATAGTTGTGTAGAAAAGAGAATTTCAGCAGATGTACTGTGTCTGTAGCATGAGAGATGTTGGGGTACCATTCTCTTGCATCTGGCCACTCTGGTAAACATTTGCAGTGAAAAGTTATGCAGCTTTCAGAGAGCAGCTCTATACTTGGTGTGTACTGATACGTAGCCTGATACGGAAGGTGTGTACTGATACGTAGCCTAACAGCACAATCTTGTGTATTTTTACCCATAGGTTAGTTCCATGGACTTTGGCGTGACTTACTCCTAGGTAACTTTGCATACGATTGCAGCCTAAATCTGCCAAATAATTCTGTTATGTTCCTAGAAATGCTCATAAATGGTGGCTCATTGCAGAAACTCCCCCCAACCCTGGTAAATTGACCTGTCTTTCCACAGATGATTTCCCTTGAAATTCCCTAGCTATTCTGTCTGAGGCAGGACAGTCCAGCTTTTCCTGTCAAATGGGTTGCAAGAGTAGCTTGGCGGTTAAGCAAGGCACCAGGCTTTGGGCAGGCTCTGGCGGGGTCCTAGAGCCCTCCCACCTCCTTCCCAAAACTGGTAAGGTGCTAACTGGTCTTTAGGAGGGAGGACTCTAGCACCCTGTCAAAGCCCTCATGTCACCTTTCCAAAGACCAGTTTGGGGGGGTGCATCAAATTTTGTCAAGGGCTGCTAAAAAAGGCATCCAGGGCCACATGTAGACCTCAGGCCACATGTTGGATCACCCTCACACGGAGAAACCTTTCAGTTTGCTTCACATTTTGCTTTAGGTAAAACTCAAATGGTAATGTGTGTAACCCTTTGGAAAGAAACCATTTTTGGCACCGCCTGCCCAAAGTCCTCAAATCACTGAAGGAGAAAGCTTTTGCTTTTTATTTTTTTAAAAAAGGTTCCAAATTAACTTCAAATATCACTTTAGACTGCAAGTTAGCTCTATGGGACTTCTGAGGAGACCTATATACGACTGAACTAATATTTCAGTCAGCAGCTTCATCTGCTGTGTCTTCAGTCAACACCTTCATCAAATTATGATTGCATCTTTAGGGCTGTGGAGTAGCTATGCTGAATATATTGGTTATTGCAACAGTGCCTACAATTAGGCTTAAATGGCATTCTGCCTGCTCATCTCACCGGAGCATCTCATATGTAGTCACTTTTCTAATTCAGGGCTTCTTGTCAGAAGGTTCAGCAGTGTCAACATTGGTAGGCCTTCATTTATTGTCTGCAAAATACGAAGAGTTCAAATACATTTGACCAGGGGAAAATAAGTGAACCGTTTGATGTACAGTTGTGAAGGTCAAGAACAGCAGTAACACAGAACAGGGTGCTAAGTAGCAGCAACTGAATTTGTCTCCTAAAAACATGCACACATACAACAAAAGGAATCTAGAATTAAAAAGTTCTGTTGGATCAGGATTCTGGTTTATTTCCATTTCTGGGTATTTTTTTAAAAAATAACTTTTATTGAGTTTTGCTTTACATACATACACAGAAAAATTCCATCCAAAATTCAAACTAAAACTAAGAATAAGTATATTTTTTTTCAATTTAAAGAAAAATATTAAGCACTAATTTAATTTCCAGATTTTATTCAAACTTAATTTTCATAGTTCTATCTGCATACATATATTTTCCATTGAGACACACGAAGCTGTCTTATGCAAAATATGGCCTCAGGCACACAGTGTGTTATCTACCCTGACTGGTAGTATCTCTCCAGGGTTTTCCAGACTTACCTGGGCATGATGGGGACTGGAGCTGGGCACTTTGCATGCCAGACAGATGTTCTAGCGGTTTGCTACAGTCCTTCCCCAACTCTTGGAGTTGGAGTGAGCCTTGTAGGTCATCTAATTCAAATCTGGTGCAGGGATGGCTAACCAGCCTCTGCTTAAAGACTTCCAGCAAGGTAAATGCTACCACCCCAATTTTATTACCATATTAAAAATGTACCTGCTCCATATCCAGGTGGTGGTTTTTGGTTTTTTAGTGTGCAGTCGGACACAGGATTCACAGTTGGAGTAACAATTATACAGTTGGAAAACTGATTGTGTGCAGTTGGAAAAATGGGAGGGGGGACAAGACACATTAAGCAGTTTAACAAAAGGCAATGTCAGAGGCAGTATGTACACAAATTATAAAAGGGTAGATAGAATGTGATCAGTTTCAATTCTGAAACTGTCCAAACCATATTAAAACATATTTTTGGGGGGTCAGGCAAAAACCTAATCTACTTTACCTTTATCACATTCTTGCAAATACCCTTAAGGCCTTTCTTCTTCTTCTTCTTCTTCTTCTTCTTCTTCTTCTCCTCCTCCTCCTCCTCCTCCTCCTCCTCCTCCTCTTGTAGCCAAGTAAGATTGTCTTCCATGAACACAGTCTTAACAGTAAGTCCGTAAGTGACTGTGGAGGCCAATTCTGGATCCATACGTCCTTCCACAGCAGGGACATAGGTTTCCAGGGGGAGCTGATCACAATGAGGGTTTGCCAAATGTACCTTCCTCTTAGCTTGTTTCTCCTTTTCACCTAGAGTATGTGCTTCTTCAAAGCCCATGACACCCTTGGTAAAGGCTGTTCTCCAATTGGAGCACTCGCAGGCAGGGCTGGATTTAGGTTTGATGAGGCCCTAAGCTACTGAAAGTAATGGGGCCCTTTATATATCCAGCTGTCTTTGTCAACAACAAATTGTTGCTTTTTGTATGTGTTGTATATATGCTATATGGTAATTTATGGACCTAATAGGTATCTAAAGCCATTTGCACATGCAGAATGCAGGCACCCTATATATAGAAATGAGCAAACCAGTGATATTTTAGAGAGCAGGCAAACCAGTGATATTTTAGAGAGTAGGTGGGGCCCATTACTTATATCATAGGAGCCTACAAACACAAAACACTGCTGCTGTATGTAGGTTTTATTTTATTTGTTTTTTATCTTATATTTTGGAAATGTACATCCAGTTTTTTTCCCTTTAAATTTTTTGGGGACCCCCAAGAGAGTGGGGCCCTAAGCTATAGCTTGTTTAGCTTATATGTAAATCCGGCACTGCTCGCAGGCAAGTATTTCTCAGTTGTCAGTGCTTATACTGCATTCTTTTAAGGTTTGCCTTGACAGCGTCTTTAAACCTCTTTTGTTGACCACTAGCATTATGCTTTCCATTCTTAAATTGGGATTAGAGTAGTTGCTTTGGAAGATGATAATCAGGCATCCAAACAACATGACCAGTCCAACAAAGTTGATATTGAAGAATCACTGCTTTGCCACTGGTGATCTTTTTTTCTTTCAGTATACTGGCATTAGTTTGCCTGTCTTCCCAAGTAATGTGTAATTTTTTTGGGATACACCATTGATGGAATCTCTCGAGGAGTTGGAGATGGCTTTTATAAGTGCCTTATGTCACACCCTATGTAACTTCTCCAGCCAATGCAAAACAGCTGGTCTGATGTCCTTTCAGCTGATGAGCCCCTTAACCAATATGCACCCCATGGATGGGGGTTCTGAAAATTGAGGAGAACGTAAGGTTCTTTCTCATTCTGACCTCTCCAAAACCCATGACAGAATCATAAAACATTTAATGCCCTTAAGGCAGACTTGCTTTATGTGTTCCTGTCTATTGGACGATATTCAAACACCTGTTCAAGATAACAAATTCATTTGTGCTTGCAGTGAAGAAATCAGTTTGATACAGCATCATTAAGTTAAGATGTCTGCATTCCTGCACCTGTTTCAGGTGGGGGGGGGGGTAACAGCTTCAAGTGATTAAAATGCTGTTAGGTTTGTATTTCACCATTGCTCCTAGTTAGAGTAATTCTGTCCGTTTGGTTTAAAATGTAGTTTTTCAAAATGTAAGAGACAGCACTTAACTTCATAAAGATTCCTGCACTTGCCCCATCTTAAGCCTATTACACACTGCAGGCTTGGGGGTTTCTTCAACAACATGCCCCATGTTTTCTTCATAATTCCTCTTCATTGTTATCCTTAACATTAAGCCTGATGAAGAGTTTTTAAAAATTTGATAACTTTGTGACATTTTACTTGATTCTAACAAAGGGTTGTGTCCAACTAATTTCTACTCAAAGTAGACCCACTGATATTCATTAATCTAAATCAGCCATATTCATTGATTTAAGTGGGTTTACCATTGGATACAATTCAGTAATTTTAGTTAGTCCCAATACCTAGTATTTAAATTTCCTAAAAAATGAACTTGTATAGCAAAATATTTTCTTCTAAATCTTATGTTTATATTTTTCATGGACATGACATGTGAGTAAGATATTATTGTCAAAGTGGAAGCATCCATGTTCTCAGCAAAATCCATTTCATCTTCTCTTGAAATGAAAGTTAAAGAGAATCCATCTGTCTTTCCTTTCATATGGTTGGAGTAAAATCAGAGGTGCAGAATCTCCAAGTGAAGTAAATCTGACAGTGACCTGCAGATATATTGACAGGATTCTGATCTTGCTACATCTTGCAGGCTAAGCATGGTCAGACATTGCCTATAACTTAAATATAAGAGCCTGGAATAACTCAAATGTTGATGAGGATAATTGTGTGCATGATTGTAGAGTTCCCAAATCCTACCATCAGAAAATAAAGAGTGTGAAGACACCAAAGACTTTGTTACTTCAAAACAAAACAAATTGTTTTCTATCACACCTGGATAAATAATTACACCTCCCTGTGCTCACACCTGGTCCCTAAGCAAAGATGCTTAGAATTGCAGAATCAGTCATGCTGAACCTCTGGTCTAACTAGGAGCTGGAAACAGCTGCAAAGACACCAGCACCAGGGATATAAAACAACTGGCCCTTTGATTAGCAAGTGTTATGAAGTGTCCGGACAACCAGCACCAGCTTGAGGGGTCTATTTTTCAGGGAGCCTAGGACATGTCTTCAATAGCCCCTCCTAGCAACTTCTGATGCTGCTCATTCTCTGAACCTAAGCCATGTGACTGCCCAAAGGGAGAAGTTAAAGCTTCTCCTTGCTTATGTCACTGTTGCTCAGACACTGCTTAGGGCAGGGAAGCAAGCAGTAAAAGCACACAGAAGGAGCTGCACCGTGTTGGCTGCCCTTGGCTTAGAAACATGCCCTGGAAGGCACTGCTATGTAGTGGTGAAGGAAGAATCTATTTTAATTGGCTTTATACATGGGGTTTGCAGGTTCCAACCCAACCGAGCTTTGTTTGCACTGAAGCGCCTCTTGTATCAAGGGTCCACTTACATCAAGTTGCTTGTGCACTGTTGCTGTTGGTCTTTAACAATAAAAGAAAGAGAGCCCACCTAATCATATGCAAGCACAAGGAAATTCTGCACAAAATATGTATAATATGCATAAAAGAGCCAAGGCCCATGCTATACTATATTTCTGCAGCATAATTTTATTTATTAATGCATACATATTTTTATACATTTATATGTATTATTGTTTAGAGTGGTTATTTTAGGAAAAGTGGAATGCATATGTGTGTATTCATATAATATTATACATATAATAATGCATATAATATACTAGAATTGTTCATGTTTTTAGCAGAACCGCCAATTAGGAAACACCTGAGCAAACTCTAAAAGAAGGTATTTTATAATACCACAAGAAATTCTGATAGGAATCACTTTTTATGAGTAATGGGCCTGATGCAGCCCAAAGTCCCTTTGACTTAGGGAGACTTAGGGTCATAGTCACTGTAGCACTAATGTGAACATTCCACCCCAACCCTCTGAAGCAGTTCTGGGGAGGGCACTGTGCAGAGGGAGGGGGGAATGTCATTGTGCTGGGGCTCGCCTTGCATTAGCACAAGAATTTGGTTGAATACTGCCCTCACACTGTATCTTTCACCCAGTTATCTGAGACTAAGACCCATTGGGTTCAATGTGACTTAGCTCTGAGAATGCATGTATGAAGGACTGCATTGTTAAGAAGGTGCTTGGTTTGACATCACTCAAATCAATGGTATTTTTAAAAGCCTATTGTAGATCTGTCCTTGTTGTTCAGCTGCAGTGGAGATTTCAATAGTTGTGGAGGTGAACAAGTGAGGTTTCTTGGACTGCATTTGACTAATAAGATTACCGTGGCTTTAAACTGCTACTTTTACACATTTATTTGGTTCTGACTATGTGGAGGTAGTTTCAGGGCTGGTTCAAGACAGTTTGTTGCCTGATGCAGAACAGCGGGTGCCGTCTGCAGGCAAATGCCCTCTGCAACGTGCATAGTACCCAAAACTAATGAGATTATTTTGGATGGTGGTGGATCATGTCCTATTCTGAATTAAAATGTTGATGAGTTTATTTATTTATACAATTCTTAAGCCACTGCTCATCATATAGGAACCCAGGGCAGTTTACAATACAATATTCATACACTGAAAGATTCAAGTAAAAATTGACAACCATAATTGAAACAAAAAACCCTTTACAGTACAACAGACAATTATCAATTTATTGCTGGCCTTATTGTATCAACTGCCCAGGGAAACAGTTATGTCTTCAGATGGTGCAAAAAGTTAAACAGCAATGGCACACCACACCTCTGAGGGAAGTGACTTCCAGAAATGGGGTGCCAGTTCAGAGAAGGCCCCATAATGTCATCACACAGCGGATTTTGCTGAGTGGTGAGACATCAAAGAACAGAGGGGAATACAGGGAGTCCTCCATCTTGTTTGAAATGTCCTTTAAATTTTTTGAGAATGCTCAATATGCATGCATATACATTGCTTTATGTTCTTTTCCACAGACTAAACAAACCCAGTTCTTTCAGGCTTTCTTCATGTGCTTCGCCTCAGAGACCTTTTGTGCCACCATGTCCTGAAAAAGGTAATGTTTGGTGGCAAAGGGTATAGTTATAGCTGGCAGTGACTTTACAAGAGCTCTGTACAGTCAGGGAGGAATCCCTCCTCATTCCATCTGCTGCTCTTACCTTTCAACACACGCTCCACTCGGCTGCCATTCCACAGTTGCAGGAAGAGATATATCATCTGAAGAAGCAGAGACAAATATTTGATTTGGATGATTACCCTGCAGGTGTCTCATCATCACTGTAGTGCAGAGATTACTAATTATTTCCCCTCAATTTGTGTACATTCTGCAGTAAATACATATATAGGATGGCACAGATCATTAAGATTCTTATACATGTGGCCAAAGCCACTCATGCAGAATGTCTCATTCAAGGTGAGCTCCAGAGGACAGCCAATATCACCTTCTGGATTTCTTCAGGTGGTCTTTGATTCAGATCAAGCTCTCTACAGGCTGAAACTGCAAAGAGAACAAATCCACCCATTTATTAAAAAGCA